TATTACATAATATTTTCTATTTGTTTTGAAATAGGTGATGCCTCTACATTGCACTGTATGGAATACCTGAGTATGTTTAAGTGCGTGTGTGTATATATACGTGCATCACAAATCTTGGTAAGGTATGAATAAAATTCCAGTTATATTTAGGCCATTGCTCTATATTATATATGCACGCTCATCCATTCATTAGAAGTTTTGACTTTGTAACATATCTTTAACCTTTCAGATGCTATATGGTAGCTTAGAAAGGATTTGTTAGTTAAAAAGGTGCTGTGCACCACAACATAAAATATAGGACATTAAGAATAAAATATAAGCTGGCTGATAAGTATATATCCATTTTTAGATATTGGGTATGTAGAAAGATAATAATAGCAAAAATGTGGAACATGCTTCCTTGTCCTTTAGACTTCAAATCCACCATGCTGAATGGATTTTTATAGGGCATATACTTGTTCATGACCTCCAGTGTTAAGAAATTCTGTCATGTTTGAAAACGGGGTCCCTAGTGGAGCCTGTGTCCCTGTTAATAGCTGAAAGGTCAATGGAGCTGCTAAACAGTTTGTATTACTGTCAGGGTGGCCGTGAAAACAGCGCCTGCAGCAAGAGGACTTGGCAGCTGGGTCAACAGGCACTGTGGGGATTTATCAACCTAGGGGGGCCACTTGCATAAAACTTTGACTGATGAATTGGGACTAGACTGGCTTATTGGGCTAAAGCCTCTCTATTATGCATGACTTTCTTTGGGATGGCAGAGCTGCCTGCGGCTCCCTGAGACATATGTGAAGGTTAAACAGAGCTGATTTCCTCTTATGAAGTGATTTTTTTGGAAAAAAAGCACTCTTCAGCATCCAGTATAATAAAGAGCAGGATGAAGATATTAAAAATAAATAAATAAACAAAGAGCAGCAAGTGGGGCCACTGAAGGGAGAAGGAGGGTGGAGGCACGAGGAGCAGTTTTTGATATTGGTCACACAGGAGTTCAGGGATACAACATTTCTGTAAGATGACCTCTCGAGCCTGGAATTTGCATTTTTAATTTATAGACCTCCTAAGGGAAGGGTCTGTGTGACTTGCTTGGGTAGCAGATAGGCAATATGTTAAAATATAGCAAGACTGGGACATAGTAATTAAATGAACATGATTAAGAATAATTTTATTTTACAAATTCCCGGAGAAATAACCCTGGAAATGTTTCAGAATCACAAAAAGATCACGTGGTTTAAGTTCAACTGAATCTCTGTCAATAGCATAAAAAAATTGTGTTCTATAAAAATGAAGCTTGGAGGGGCTGGCCCCGTGGCCGAGTGGTTGGGTTCGCGCGCTCTGCTGCAGGCAGCCCAGTGTTTCATTGGTTCGAATCCTGGGCACGGACCTGGCACTGCTCATCGAGCCACGCTGGGGTGGCATCCCGCATGCCACAGCTGGAAGGACCCACAGAGAAGAATATACAACTATGTACTGGGGGGCTTTGGGGAGAAAAAAGAAAAAAAGTAAAATCTTTAAAAAAAAAGTGAAGCTTGGAGAGTTCATAACTCTGTTAGAATTCTTTAATTTCCACCTTCAGGAGCATTTGTTTGATTCTGAAAAGACTGAATAAACAGCAAGCATCCAATGCATGACTTGGACATTTGAACACTAGGTATTAAGAGCTCTTTAAAGCTCCATGCACACCTTTATCCCAAGTTTGGAACTAAGACAACCTTAAAAGTTGAGAGATCACCTGAAAATAATTCTCGAATGCATGGAATGAACAGCAACAATACTAAAGAGTTTAATACGTTTTAAATATATTCCTTAATTATCTTCACAGAGCTCCGCAGAAATAAGTCCACACTTTATCGATGGGCAATGGGGCACAGTACGGTGAAATGAGGTGCAGGGTCCCACATTAAGAAGCATTCAGAGACAAGACCAATTGACTCCTTGTCCTACCCGGACAGACTCGCTCCTCGTCTTGACTAGTCTCAGATGGCACAACTAAGTGAAACTAAAATTATTGCCCAGCTCTTGGGCTCAATGTATTGAAATCTGTTTTCTGGAACTGCTGGTTGAAGGAGCTCCCCACACCAGGGCATGCAGAACCCAGTAACACAGATTTCTTGGGACCCAATAAGTTGGCCCAGCAAGTTGGGGAATTGGTATTGACTTGATCTTCACTCCACTCTGCCATGAGATGCAACTGCTCCGCCTCTGAAGGTATTCCTGAAGTGTGTTCAACGTTCTAACATGGAGGCAAAATTCATTTCTTTTCTGCTTTTTTCCTTAAATAACTCCTGAGTTCTAGTTAAGCTTTAGAGAAAGTTGATTATATTCTTAATAAATTTTCATTTTTTTCCTTATAAATAATGGCATTTGATTTTTATAATAAGTTATCTTGCCATTCTTTTCTGACAAGGGTGCACACTGCAAATGATTTTAAACTTACATAAATGATTATGTAACATATAGCCTTAGAGCAAACTGTCCTTACAGACTGAGGTGACAATGTTGGAACCTCATTTGCTCTTGCCAAAAATGACTTAAGAATATTGCATATGGTTTCTAAACTCCCTTATCTTTCTTGTATGTGAGTGTGCATGTGTTTAGGGAAAAGCAGGAAAAACATAAATCGTATGGTGAGTAAGAATGTAACTTCTATGACACGTAATATAGAATATAAAAATTTTATAATTTGTTATTATTCTCTTCTAGGGCCATACGTCAATTGATGTTTGAAAGTCATTCTGAAAACATTATTCTAACAAGTCTAGGGCTCCTCCCCAATACAATAACCTAAGATTTTAATTTGAATTAGATTTTTGATATAACAAGAAATGTCTATATATTATTTTTTCAGAAGATGAGGCTCTTCAAATTCTCCCTCAGAAGTTTTAGAAAAACAATTTTGCTCTGAAGCAGACACCCTGAATGCTGCCAGGCTAGTAATTAGCTTGTGTTTCCAAAATAATCCTGTCCACATACACTAACGCGTCTGCTTATTCAGAACTTCAGATCATCTAGGGAGAAATGCTGTAAGAATGAACGTTGGCATCCAAATCGAAACAGCATGAGGCCCCCAACAAATGTTTATGAAAACATTTGTTTTCTTATAGTCAGTTTAATTTTGAAATTTATGCCTACGCCTGTGTACAAGGACGGTGACTTTGGGACTCTGTTACGCCCCCCACCTTCTGAAAACCAAACACAAATCTTAACCCTGGCCCCACACATGACACAACTCACCAGAAACAGGCACCATAATGAGAAGTCAGGCCTTTCAGGTATGTCACTCTGAGACCACCCTACGAGAGGAGGCCCTAAGATCACAAAGCCAAGGTCCCTTATGGCCACCCTGGTAATTAGACACTAATAATGGATTGAAGGTGTAAAATTCACCTCAACTCACCACCAACAGACTAAACAAGCCAGATGAAGAGGAAAAGACTTTTGTGAGGAGGAGGGAGAATTATAACACTACCAGGAAGCTGGCAAAAGCATATCAACTTTGATGAATATAATGGAATAACAACGATTACTTTGAAATGAATGGCATTAGAGCTGAGTGAAATCCCTAAGACCTCATTATGAATCATTAGAATGCTGCTAGTTTATGAATTAACATTAGTTTGATATTTGTCCTTAATATTGCCAACTTCGATATTTGCCGAAATGTCTATTATTTTCATTCATTACTTTGCTTTTCACAAAGAGGACATTGGTTTCATAATCAAGGAGGTAACGAACTCCTACATGACATATATGGGTACTTCTCTAATTGTGAAAGAAAATGTGGACTGTTACATAGAGAAGGAAAGCTCTCATTGTGTGATGGATGAGTATCTGTGACACCGCGGAGAGACCATCCACAATTGATTATTCCTCTTTTTGGTCTGCAGGACCAATGACAGCCTATATTTTTCTCAGGAAAGATAGTGTTTTGTGATATGGAAAAAGGACAAGAATCTCCATTTTGTTAGTCAGTGGCTTTTTCAGAAAAACAAACACAATTTACAAGTTACAAGTGATGTTTTTAAAATGGAATGAAATTAATGCTTTTAGCAAACTTTTCAGATTATTAGAATTTATTCTTCTAAAAGAGACTTGAAATTTGGGAATTTAAATTTGCAAATGGCTCATGAAGATAAGTTAGTATAGAAAGAATGTGAAACTCACAGCGTGGTGGAGCTACAGCCTGACAACTACTGGTGTTCAACAATAGTCCTACCTGTGAGGGTACTTCAGTCCTGCAATAGTTGTTTCTAAATTTATGACTAATATCTATGTGACAGTACATAAATTTAGCAGCTTTGATAGTTCCGATTTTATCCATGAAATTAACAACTGACTAATTATAATTCAAGGTAAGGTGAAAGTTGTGTGTGTGTTGAAGTTGTGATGGGGTGAGTGAGAAGGAGCGGGGTGGGATAAATATATTCTTTAAAGGATTAAAACATTCAAATCCTCCTTTTGCTGAGGTAAATAAGAAAACCTTCAGTTTTCATTTGTTTAGTCACGGAAGCCTGCATGAGAGCTGGGAGCTTCCAGACAGTTTTGAAATGAGGCTCAGATGTTGAACTGCCAGAATAACTTATCCTGATTCCCTAACAAAAATCATACCCAGCAGCTGTAATCTATGCTGGTATGTTTCCAGTTTTCTCGAAAGAAAGGAGGGTTTATTGCTTCCAACAGGAGTGCTGAAGCCACCGCCTCACACATCGGGGTCCTCTGGCGTTTAGCGGACGACTCTGATTTTACAAATATAATGCTGCTCTCTGATGACAAGGGTGACAAGAATGTGTGATCGCAATAAGGCTGTTGAAGTTCAGCGTGGTCACGTCTAGGCCCCAGAGACTGGCGCTGGAGGGCCTCTCAGGACAGCACTTAGCATACGGACAGGGCAGAAGTCTTCATCTTTGTTGACTGCTAACTGTAATTCGTCTCTCACCAATTTGAATGCACCGGAATAACTTGGAGGAGAATATTACTTGACTTAAAGGAATATCAAAAAACCTCACCTTTTGGGATCTACGATTTTGTAGAGTTTTCCATTGTGAGTCTGGGTCATACTTTTGCTACTTGATAGAATGTAAACTTCACCTATGAAGAGAGAAATATAATATGTTAATTCACAGTATTACAAGGGCTTACTTCCTATTGCCTAGCAGATATTTATGTATATGTGTATATACGTATATAAATGTATTTGTATGTATATATATATATGTATGTGTGTATACATATTTTTTTTCCATATATCCTCAGGAAGATCACTTGCCTAAAGATTATGAAAGAGTTGCACAAGCCTGCCTTCACAGGGCATCCAGATTCTGAAGCCGTCCCTCCACATCCACTACTACTCCAGCGCAAGCAGACATTCATCTCTCACCTGGATTATGGCAACAGCCTCCTCACTGATCTCCTTCTTCTACCTTTGTTCCTCTGTGTTTACATACCAGCCACAGAGATTCTTTTAAAGCAAGTTAGGTCATATAAGTTGGATCACACTCAGTACACTCCAATGGCTTCTAATCTCTCTCCGGGCAAACGTAAGTCATGACAGTGGCCTCTGATGACCCCCTTATTGCTCTGACGTCATCTGCAACGTTCTGCCCTCTTGTTCATTCCTCTCTAGCCTCACTAGCCTCTTGGCTTTGAACACATGAGAAAGGCTCCTGTCCCAGGCTCCTGTGTCAGGCTCTTCCTGTCCTAGGCTCTTGACTTGCTTCCTATCTCAGCTTCTGTCCCAGGCTCTTCCTGTCTCAGCATCGGTCCCAGGTTCTGTCTCAGGCTCCTGCCTTTCAGTAGATTTCCACTGGGTTGACTTTTTCCTCTCCTGCAAATTTCCTGACTGTACTACTGAAAATTGCACTTTTCCCAACCCTAGAAATCTCTGTCCCTCTTCACAACTAGATTTTTCTAGAAAACACTTATTACCAATTGACATACAGTATATTCAAAACAAAAATCAACCAAAGCAATATTTATTTTTATTGTCCTTTCCTTTAGAATATAAATTTCATGTCTCTCTCTCTGCTGCTGTGTCCCCAGAACCCAGGACAGAGCTTTGCACAGAATAGGTGCTCAATAAATATTTGCAGAATGAGTGCTGAAGGGCAAGTTTTATCTTGATTATTCTGCCCAAGATTGAAAGGTTTGGTTACTGAGTTGTTATTGTTAATTGACAATTTGAGGCCAGATAGAATTGGGATACTCCTTTTTAACTTTTAGTATTTAAAAACAAAATATATTAAAATAAATATTTGGGAAGAGAGAAACCCTGATGCTCACCCTCAAGTCTACCTCCCTAATTCTTGATGCTAGGCTGGTTCATGATGATGAAATCCTTTTAGGAGAGAACCACTCTTGATTTTTGAAATTTTTTTTTTTGAAGATTGGCCCTAAGCTAACATCTATTGCCAATCTTCCTCTTTTTTTTTTTTTTTTTTTTTATCTCCCAAAAGCCCCCCAGTACTTAGTTGTATATCCTAGCTGCGGGTTCTTCTAGTTCCTCTACGTGGGACGCTGCCCCCAGCATGGGCCTGAAGAGCAGAGCTAGGTCGGTGCCCAGGATCTGAAACTGCCGAAACCCCAGGCCACCGAAGTGGAGCATGTGAACTTAACCACTCAGACACAGGGCTGGCCCGGGAACCACTCTTATTTATCACCACTACTTCCATATAATTCAATGTATAGAATGGTTCACGTGAATATGGACTTATAAGTTGTATTTATGATTATATGTTTATAAGGCTTTAAAATATATATTTGGTTCTCATGAAATATTCCTTGATTTATCCTATATTTCTCAGTTCCACTCTATTATTATATATGAAGCACACTTACTACTTTCTTACTTCTGAAAGGGATGCTATGGGGTTTACCCTAAAAAGCAAAGGAATGCAAACAAAAAAATATTTATTTTGTCAAGTACTTTATATAGCTTACCTCATTTAACCCTTAGGACAAACCCTCCTGGTTTTATAGTTAAAGAATAAACACAGAGAGAAAACAGACGCTCAACACTTTTTTGTTTCAAAAAATGTAAAAACCTCCTCATTTTCTTATATGGCTCTTAATTAAAGCCAAAGAGTTTCACATTAAAGTGTAATTCAGTGAAAGTGTATTTTTAATTATAAAGTATACATGATATTGCAGCTTTTGGACAGTAAGGATTGTGAATGCTTCATTTGTTGGTTCTGCTCCCAATCTAGTATTAAGTGTAGATAGATGTTTGGATATTTTACCCAATGGTGGTGATGCTAATAAGGATGACTGATGGTGAGCCATTTTGTAGTAAGGTCTGGGGAACTGAAAATGATTCAGTCACAACATCTAAAAATTCATTTCTAACTTCTGCTGCAATTTAATCCTAATTTATATTTTAAAAATGGAGTTAGCCAATGAAATTTAAATTACATTACAGAGGATTTAAGTAAGAAAGAGTATCTTTCTGGTTCCTTTGAGTAGGGTAGGAGAATATCAAGGGAAAATTAATTATACAGTGCTTTCAATGCTGGAACAAGAACAGAACAGATTGGACTTCTCTTCTTTGAATCATTAAATTCCTGTGGGTCTGGAATATGTATTATGTGTTTCAGTAATCTTGTCTAAGTCCTTTGTTAACCTAAGTGAATGACATAGAACAAATTCTGATGAATCTCCATTTGATACAGGTAAACCGAATCTAGACTTTTAGAGAAAACATTCTAATTTAGATGAGAAACATAACTCTTCTTTCTTAATACCTAGAAATTCGTCTTTTTTTTTAAAGATTTTATTTTTCCTTTTTCTCCCCAAAGCCCCCCAGTACACAGTTGTATATTTTTAGTTGTGGGTCCTTCTACTTGTGGCATGCGGGATGCCGCCTCAGCATGACCTGATGAGTGGTGCCACGTCCGTGCCCAGGATCAGAACCGGTGAAACCCTGGGCCGCCGAAGCAGAGCGTGCGAACTTCACCACTCGGCCACAGGGCTGACCCCTGGAAATTCATCTTTGAGGCTAAAGGAGCATAGTAACCATGGTTTGTTTGGATATTGTTCTTTAAAGAGCATCATTATAAAACCTGCCTTTATCTCTGTAATTTAAAACTAGTAGCATTTTCACTCTTTGATTGATTACATTCCAATTTCAACTTCTTTTTGCTTATTGAGCCTTATACATTTTGTTAACAACCAATAAATATATTGTATGGTATCCCAAATTTCTATTCTGTTGGAAAGCAGATCTACAAACTCTGATTACCTTGTACAAATTTCATGCCCCAGTTGGCAAAAAAATAAAAAATTAGGAAATCTACAGGATAAGGTGAGATTCAGATTGCAACAAGTTTTTTATTTATTCCAAGAGACATAGATAAGTGGACAGGTTTTCCGATAGAGAATATAAACAAATGACTCCGATGCACCACAAATATCAGTAGACATTTAAAGGTTTCTCTCTCTTCAGGACTCAACAATTTTCTTTTGTTCCTGCCTCCCATTTTCCTGCTTTGTTACCTTTATATTTTTTAAATGGAAATATGATTTAAAGACCGCCAGAGAAAGGTTATTGGAAAAGAATACGTAACTGGACTATCTCTAATCTCTACAGTAGGGCATCTTTGCTGTGGGTTACATTTCCGACAAATGGAGAAGATTGCTATACTTATTCTTCAGAGAAGAACAAAGGCTCTTGGGCAAGGGAGTGGGAACAGAATTTAACAGAAATAGTCTGTACAGTACCTAATTCGTCTTCTCCAAATCCCAATATGTGACCTGAAAAGTAACCTCTACAGGAACCACTGTTGCCAAGACAGAGCGGTTTTTCTTGCCATTGTTTGCTCACAGGACTTTGCTGGAGAGTTAAGAAATTCCTACAACAAAAACATACCATAAACCTACAATGAAAACATGCTTTTGCTTAAAAAACACAATAAAAATGTTTAAAATAAAACACAATAAATAATTGTTGTGCCATAGACCTGGCTTCTACAGGGAAAAAATAATACAGCCCATAATGTGTGTGAATATTGTGAAATTCTTATGTGGGGAGAAAGTACTGAAAGATATTTTGTTTGGAGGGGGCACTAAAAGTACCTGAGTATGAGAAAAGCCCTCCCCTTCATCCAGAGAATGATACTTCCTCTCCAGGACTAGACTCCATGCTGTGCTATTAATCAGAGAGAGGGACAGGGGGAAGATTGTGGGGTCAGTACACTTTTCTAGTTCCTTTTAGCGACCAAGCGTATCAGCTCTGCCATATGCCTGAATGCCAGTGACTTGGGAAACAAGATTCTTAATTTGGGTTTCATCACAGAGTTTCTTACAACTATCCATAATGTGACTTCTAAAATTTAATTTTATAGTATTCCTATCAATAGAGACAAATTAAGTTCTTTTGCCAAAAGTCTTGACAGTCTGGCAAAAACAAAAATCGTTAGCGTTCCAAGATGATTTTTTAAAATATTTATACAACTCATGTAAAACAACAGTGTTCAAATTAAACATTATCACTGTAAATTTATGTTAAGGATGAAGGGAAGAGCCTACATAATATGAAAAGTCCATCTGAGGATTTCTCTGCTCTTAAAAAATTATTTTATGAACTTGATCAAGTCTGTTTAAAAAGCATCTCTTAGGAAGTTCTTTAATTAAACCACCATATATAGTGGAACTAAAAGTAAATAATAATATTTATGTGTGTCCCAGACCTGACCTCCAAGGGGAGATAATCGTTTGAATATTTTATGGTCGTTTGTACACTAATCAAAGGATATGCCATTTGATATATCAAATTGTGGTATCAGGAAACCTACCCATTACGGTCTCCAAACACGTAGCTTCCATACAGTCTTTCAGACTGGCAGCCTCGGTAAACGAACCCACCAACCAAAGGACCATTACTGAATGGCTTGAATTCTAAAAGTGATGGCTCACTTTCTGGGAGGAAATAAAGATAGCATTAGATCAAATGAAAAATATTTTCATAAAGTAAAAGTAATAGAGGCCAAGCAACAATTATTACAATAATTCACTTTAACTCTGAAATGTGTTCCATGATGCATAAGATGAATCCTTGCTATAGATATTTAGTGAAAATAATTACTCCCTTGGCTTAAATAGTATAAAATTTAAAGGACTTCCAGCCTAACGAAATGGAAATGCTCTATACGTGCTCGCTGTTATTATAATTGCCAGGACACACCACATTTTCAATGAAATTAGAATTAAGTTATTTTGGAAATCACGTTTATTTACTTTAGAACCAAAATACTTTAAGAAAACAATACTTAATTTTTTAAATACTGAATCTTTTGTAGAAATGCCTCTGCATTATTTAATAAATTGAGCCAGACCTCTGTCAAGTTATATAAAATGTTTAACAGTATACACTCTAATGGAAATAAAAGTATAGTACATAAATGGTCTTTAAAACCACATTTGCCGTATATTTAAAACCACTGTCACTTAGTCAAGTAATATCTTCATTTAAAATATTTTAATAGTTTTGTTTATAGAGTTGGGTGGTTAACAGTCTACTGCCGTCATTCCTTTTGAATTACATGTGTATAGTCATGTATCTCAATCTTTCCAAGCATGTCATTCTATGCTTGAATACACGTATGCTAATTGCAATGGAAAAGATCTAAAGGCAGTTGCAAATTAATCTGAAAATTACTTATTACATGCCTAATGTTAAATAAGACACTATCAATAGGTAGTATTTTAGGCAAAAGCTTTTGTGGAAAGACAATAATTTTAAAGTTCTCTCCCCTCCTCGTGTGACTATGGTGAGTATGATATTATAAAAAGTAGAAAAGATAAGTTTTAAATCATCAGCTCACTGAGAGGCAGCATAACTGAATGAGTAAGGTCATGAACTCTGGAGTCAGGCTGCCTGAGTTCAAATCTAGGCGCTGCCACTTTATGTTGTGTGATAATTAACTTTTCTGTGTCTCAGTTTGGTACAACGTGGCTAATGATAGCGCTTATCACATAGGGTTGTTCTGTGAATAAAATGAGTAAAGTTTATGAAATGCTTACTACAGTGGCTGGTATGTAGTAAGCACTGTGAATGTGGTTATTTTGGGGTTTTGTTTTGTTTTCAGCTTTATTGAGGTATAATCAACAAATGAAACTGTAAGACATTTAAAGTGTACATCGGGGTGGTTTTATATATGTATACATTGTGAGAGGATTCTGTGAATATGTTTTTAATACATAAATGTAGGACTGCCAATATTGCAGCCAATTTCAGCTGAACTCCAATTAATGTGATTGTAGAATTTAGTTTAATCTACAAATATAGCCGAAATTCCATCAAGCTAGTGACTCATTACATTTTTTTTTTCAAACCACATTATTCTTTGGTTTGGCTTTTATAAGATGCACACAGACACATACATGAATACCTGAAAAAAAAATAAAGTAAAATAACTGAATACCACATGAACTGACACAGCTGCTTCATTCCTGGTGCTAAATAAATATCTGTATTGAATGAGTAAATAGAAGAAGCAATCAATTTAATAATCTTAATCTACTGTGTTCCCTGAATCATAATAATATTTGATATATTGCTTCCTCCAAAAAGAGTAAATACTAAAACATTGAAAAATATTCAGTTTTTTGGACTTCATGATTATCCAACTTTATTTTTTGTATGTGTACTCTAAATATTCTAGTAATCATGTTATTAAAAATAATGTCCAAATGTCTCATTTCCATGATTTGGGTAAATAACATGTTTTTACAAGTCTATTACTTTGTTTTCTGTAAAATAAACACCTTTAAAAAATTACATTCTTATTTGAAACACTTATAATTTTCCTAATTGCTGAGACAAGTATGTTGGGTATTGAGAAATTTCTTACCTGTAACATTTGTTTTTTCCTCTGTGTATAAAATGTTAAGACAAGTCCTCTCTTATACGTTAAATAAATAGAAGGTATTCATCTTGATTCTCAGATGAGCAAAATCTAAACTGCTAACTTTTAAAGGTCCATTAAATTTGTTGGACCTACAGAGCACCATTCAATTCATGGGAAAGGTAATTACCCAAATGGAACACCTAGGGCTCGTAAGAGCCATTGGACCTTTAAAATGTGAGCAATTTACTCCCTCACCACTGTTAGGCCAGTGTTTTTATGCTTTCCCAATGTTCATTTTGCAGAAATCCTTTTCTCTTCAATTAATAGACTAAAATAAAACAAAGCCCAAACTAAAGCCAAATCAACAAATTATGCTCTACTTACCATAATCTTTCCCCTTTATTATCTGTAGGATTCTGGCTGATGATCTGTTCTTTCCATTGGAGTCTGAACAAAGTATTGTTAAATTGATGTTTATATCAGTGGGATGTCGATCGACAGCACATCTGAATAACAAAAGGGAGGGACACCCATGAATTCCTACCAGGAATATCTTCCAAACTCAGATTGAAGATTCCTGACATAGGAACCCTTTGTGGGCTGGCAAGGATCCTATGGGCTATTTAGTTTGGATCCTCTAGAAACCACTGAAGGAAACATCCTGATGTGTTTGTTTACTCTGCTGAAGCTGAATGGTCTCTGGAGAATATTTCTTAATTTCTCTTGGTATCTCCCTCCATTATGAATGTGTACACTGACTTAAAACATTTGTTAGCCTGCTCTTAAGGAATATCACATATATGATACACTGGTAAAGTATAAGAATCATCAGCAGCATCAACTCACACCTGGAACTCACAATATAGAATTAGTTATAGCATTAATTTTGTGAGTTTATGTTTCTTATATGGATTGCTATATTCTAAAGCTCAGGCTGCTCTAACAAAGGAAAGTGTGCACTCCGATTTAGGGGATAAAAATAAAGCCATCCCTAACAACCATTATGGGCTTTTAAGTTGACTGTGTCTTCATGTCACCCCTAATCTGGGGCCAGAATATTTCTGTGACTTAAGCCACTGACTGTAAACTCCTTGAGGACAGGGACTACTTCCAACTTCGTTATCAGTGTATTTCTGTTACCTAGTTCAAACCTGGGAACACAAAGGGGCTCAATATTAGTTGTATGTTTTAGTCAGTGAAGGACTGGGCATGTGGAGTTTGGGTTGGAGGAAGAAAGAAGTTGAACAATATAATTTTTGACGTTCTCACGAATATGGAAAACAGTGTTGCATTTTTTTTTTCAGGTTTCTCAACCTTGTCCTTATTGACTTTTGGGCCAGGTAGTTCTCTGGGTGGGAGTGAGGGAGGTGCTGTACTGAGCATTGTAGGATGTTTAGCAGCATCTCCGGCCTCCAACCACTAGATGTCAGTGTAATGATCCTCTCCTCCCAAGTTGTGAAAACCAAAAATGTTTCTGGGCATTGCCAAATGTCCTCTGGGGGTAAAACCATCCCATTGAGAATCACTGTTTTAGACCAAGAAAATACATTAATGACTTAAAAAAAACCAAAACCCAAAAAACCCCAGCAACAACAAAAAACCATTGGGGCTATAAAATTATTAAAAAATAAAAAAATCTGAGAGTAGGTTCTAGGGCTTAAGAGACATGAGTCAAATGCAGAAATTATTTAAACAACAAAACAAAAACTGTTGGCTCTGAATGATCCCATTTATAATGGGGAAACTGTAAGCCTGACCTGCCAAAGATGGGTTAGTTGTTCTGTGGCAACAGTCCCTTTATTGTCCTCTTTAATTCAATGATTCACAGAATACAATGCCTGGCAGGGATCAGGACAGAGCGCGCTGTGTCTTAAGGTGGAACCAAATCCATTCAGGGGGAGAAAATTTTCCTGTATTGCCTTTCTTTTGAAGATGGAGAAACTATGACAAAAAAAAAAAGTTTGACTTGTTTCTAACAAGAAAGAGCAAATCTGGAAGAAGAGGCCAGGTCTCCCAAAGGTGGAGATGCTGGGGGCCATAAGGTCTAGCTCTAGAGCTGAATACTAGGTCCACTGAGAACCACTTGATTCTTCTGAGCTTTAGTTTCTTATGTAAGAAAAGAGGAGTGACAGTGAAACTTCTCTGTTTGATACTGTAACGGTGGATACATGTCATTACACAATCGGCCAAGTCCATAGAACGTACAACACCGAGTAAACCCTAAACTATGATCTTTGGGCCACTGTGATGTGTCAGGTTCACCAGTTGTAACAAATGGACCACTCTAGTGGGGGATGTTGATAATGGGGGAGGTCCTGCACGTGTGGGGGCAGGTGGTATGTGGGAATCTCCACACCTTCTGCTCAATTTTGCTATGAACTTCAAATGGCTCTAAAATTGAAGTCTTAAAAAAAAAGGGAGGTGCTTGATGCCAGTTACTGCTGAGAGGCAGAAATGAGATAATGCGCACAAGATACTTAGTTCAGTACTCTGCACCAAGGTGATTAATAAAAGTCAGCTTTAGTTTTAGCCAATAATTATTTTAGTTCCTTTTTGCTTTATTAAATCTTCCTCTGCTTGAAATAGTCTTGGAGGGAGGTGGACTTTTCCTTCAGCCCTCTGTGGCTGGAGGAGGTAAAGACTTCACAGCACAGGCATCCTGCCATGTGATAGGTCTGTAAAGCACTTCACCCTGTATTTTTGCATTGAGGGTTCAGGAGCTCCGGGAAGGCTGCACGAAAACTCCAGTGGGATTGTGGTGACTCAGGCTGCTCAACTTCAAAGTGCTGCTTTGTGTTGGTATCTTCGAGCTCTGAGCTATAGGAATGGAATGTGACAGTTTCCTCCACATCCTGAACCCACCTTAAGTATTCCCTGTCGCACAGATTTTAAGATCTGCTGAGATGCCAAAAAGGAAATGAACTGTAGAGTTGGACTTTGATGGAGGGGAGATGAAGGGCATGAGGGATTATAAAAATAAAAGTTCGAGAAATACCCACCTTGCACATAGTGAACACTCAATAAACATTAAATAGCAATAATAACTAAGCTAGTAAATGAATGAATGTGGCCAGATAGCCCTTCGTATGAATAACAGACCACAGATTGGATGAAACTTTCATCACAGAATTGCTATGCACGCCATAGCATTTCTTAAGTGTACCCAGAATTTCTTGCTCTACATACTTCTTAATGTTCCTTTCTTTGTGGTTCATTATAGTAAACTGTCAAGATGAATTCCTTTAGTATTTGAAATTTTTTCCAAGAGAAAAAACATTTAGCTCAACTCCTTACAGATTGATAGTGTATCATCATATGTTAAATGAAGCTGCGATAAGAATTATAATTTATTTAAAACCTCCCAGGTGTGTCAGACACTCTATTTTTTGCTTTACTTACAGATTTGTATTTAATTCTTACAGCATCCTTGCAAGGTAGCTATAATCACCTCCACTTAACATATAAGGAAATGATCATTTAGAGGGGTTTAAGGAGACAAATTAAAAGGTTTATTATCTCTCTGAATTTGAAAAATTAAGGTCTTAATCATTACACTAGTCCAACAGCATTTAACCAATAATAACCTTCCAAAACTTTAAGGCAATTTTTCTCCAGGAATTTGTCCTTTTCTGTGTCTAATCTGCCTTCGCAAAATGCTTCACACACTAATAACAGGAGAAAGAGTGCTCGGATGATGAGCTGGTGTGATTTTAGAGGCACAATCTTGGACACCACTCTTAGCTGCTCTGTGCCTGGTGCTCTCCTTCTTTTCCCAGTTCCGGAATCCCAGTCTGGCTTTACAGCAGGCAAGACGACAGGCTTGTGTTCTCACCTGCCTGGATCGTGGAGGCCGTGGGCAAACACTTCCGGGGGCTGGCTGGTGCTGTTGAAGTGCGGGTTGCTTCTCGGTATGGAATACGGCACACTGCACATGTCTGTGTCCACATCCAGCCGGAGCACCGAACCTGTGAAATCACTAAGAAATTGGAGGACGATGTAAGTGTTTTCTGTTTTTGTTATGTATTTCACCTAAACTAAATACAAGAGATTGCTCGATAGATAAAAGACTCATCCCCCATTTAAGACAAAGTTATTCAAATTCCAAATTCCATATTGTGGGAAATGGAACCGGGGCCATTTGGCTTAAGACAAGTGACAGCACCAAGACACAGCTCGGTGGTGGTCAAGGATTGCAGCATCAGTGGTGCGCTACTTTTTGCATCTGTCCTGTTTATTTTTTGCCAATCCATATGTTTTATGTCTCCCAAGAAGCTCCACTGGACCATGTTAGTCCATTATGCAGAGTGTTGAAGGCCACCTGGATGCACAGGGCAGCTGAACAGCAGCGGCTGCCTGGAGCACGAGGTGCTGCTTGTTCTCAGGGCTGTGCATATAGCTGTGTGCAGAGCGCAAACCACACAGCAGTAACTCGTTTTAGGACATCTGGGTATAATGACTTTGAAAACTATGATATCAGCATATTATTGAATTCCTCTGCATTTTATAAATGCAGACACTGATAACAAAAGTTAAATACTTAACCAAGGTGATATAATTCAAAGACTTCTTAAACTCACTGACTTTGACCCTTTTCCTGGCACTTAAAACATTTTAACATCAAGAGGAAGGTATTTTTTTTCTTTTACCTTAATCCATCCATTTCTTCCATATCATCCAGTGTGATCATCCCATCACCGAGAATGATGTACAAAAACCCATCAGGGCCAAAAAGCAGCTGTCCCCCCAGATGCTTTCTGTGGAGTTCTGCCACTTCAAGAAAGACTCTGGCAGTTCTCAGATCCACTTGATGGGGATTTTTTCTACATGGGGGGAGGAAACAATACTGTGATTGTTAAAGATGTAAGGTCTATCCATTAGAAAGTAAATAGTACACAAACAGGGAAGTGTATACCTGGCATGTAAATAAAGAAACATACACTTGAAATGGAGCAAATAAAAATGACCTAAGAGTTACATTATTTTCTAAGTTTCAGAAGTAGTACTTGAGTTGAAAGACAATTAAGGAAAAGTGTCCAAACTATCATTTTTCTCAATTTTCCTTAAAGACAACGTACTGGATTTTAAGCAAGAGGGAGATTATGATTTAATTATTGCTACCTTATGGCTATTTGTTCGTAACTTCTAAACAAAAAATTATGAAGAGATAATGAGAAAATAAGATTAAGAAATATTTCTGCCTCGATGCGTTTTAGTGATACCTGGATACTGTGTATTCCACAACTCTAAGAATGTGGTCATGAGGCCCGATAGCCCACCGCTCTTGGTTGGTGGTATAAGACACATACAGCTTTCCATTTTTCTTGTAATTGGGATGGAATGCAAGGCTTAGCAGTCCTCTTTCATCTCCTCCCTGCAGTCAAATGAAAAACACAAAGAATTGTGAAGTTAATTATGTTCTTTATTGTGTTTCAACTGGAACCCCAAAAGAGTCTCTTTCTTTCTTCTGGATAATCTTTGCCCAAACTCTTTTCTTTTCTTCCTTGCCCACTGCACAAAAAAGGATTATAAAACATTTCACTTTGCGGAACTCTTTAAGGGTTAGAACAAGACAATTGTCTTGCGTGGTTATCTATGCACAAGACCCTTGCACCACTTTTGTCAAGTGATTTGTGTATGTAATCTTGGGAAGCTAGGAAGACAAGTTTAAGGGCTGTGAAGAATTCTTTGCTGGGTTACTAGGTTGCTTGTAGTTCATAGAAGACAAAAAAAAAGGTTCATAATCAGCAGTCACTTCTAATCCAAGCCTCTAAAACCTAAAACACAGTGTGGGCTGCCAACTCCCACTGTCTTGGCAATATGTTTAGAAAACAGTTAAATTGCTTGTGTAATATGTAAACCTTTGTTTTACCCTGGAGGCATCTACATCAGTTGTCACAACGGTGGTGGTCTGCTCATCACAGCGAGGTAATAAGCAGCTTTGGCCCATCTACTTAGAAATGAGGTATTTTTACATGTATCCCTTCCCTGCATAGAGTTTTTCTTTGTAAAAGGATGGAGAAATGCGAGGAGAGCTAAAAGCCAGGGCTGGGATGGGGGTGGGAGAAATACTAGAGAGGAAAGGGGAAACTAGGAAATAAAAGAAAAATCCCAAACAACTTTCTTTTGTGATTATGCGAATGTCAAGGATTGTATACACTAGGCATGCCAAATGCTGTAACAATTAAAACATCATCATGTTCTTAAATAGAAAGGCATTTTATCTTTATTTTCTGCTAATTCAGCTTGATGAAACTCAATACGGTCGCAGCATTTGTTTTATCCCACAAGTAGTCTAGGAACTTCTATAATGAAATCAAAGTACCCCAAATTATCTAGATCAGAGACAAAGTTCATAATCTAGTAAACCAGTGATCACCCCCTCTGTAATCTGACGAGTTATCCACAGTGGTGAAAAACGTTATATAGAAACTGAATGTTGCAGTTTCTTCTAGTCCTACACCTTATACAGGCTATTTCATTAAACATTGTAACATCTCCGATGGCAAAAAGCTCTAAATTACTCCTTAGAAGTGGTATAGAAGGGAAAATATCTCTAATGCTGCAACTTCTTCACAAGGTTATGCTCAATAATGGAAGCACTCTCATGCTTCTGTGCCCCAGGATAGCCTGTGTTACCAGCAAAGCATGGGACTGTTTACAGTTTGTATTCTACGTGGATTTGCAAATTTAAAGTTTTAGGCATAAAAGCTCACTTTTAATAAGCACTGTTTAATTTGTTTCCTGGCTTAGAGAAAAACTGCTTTCAAATATATGCCATCCAAATTGGAAACATCCAAACTTTAAGAGTGTATTAATAATAAAGTGCATGTAAATATCCCAGAACTACCAAATTATTATTCAAATATCAAAAAAGTCAACCTCCTCATTTGCATATAATATGCTTAATTTTAATTTTAATCAAAAGAGAGATCTCACTGAAGGGCAAGGCTCCAATGACTATGATTTATGAATGAGTCTGTTTTTTGGACAATGTTATTATGCTGACTTTAATACTGACGATGTTGCTGGTTTTCTTTCTATATCTTCGTTAAGCAAAGACCTCCTCCCTTTCCTGTGAGACACTGAAAGCTGGGATGCGTAACTAAGATTGGCCTGTAGAAAGACTGGCCACTGCACATTTAAACCTCCTTGACTCACGTGTAAGGAGGCCTAGGGGTGGGACTCAGTTTGTGATTTATTCCTCTTCTGTATATATTTCCCTCCAAAGCTGTGAGCGTGGGGTAAGTCTACATGCCCACTTCACGAGTGTTTGTGTTCCGCTCTGAGAAGCTTTTGTTGCAAGTAGTTCTTTTATAGTTTTTAATCAAATCGTCTGAAACACAATATGAATTGGATAGCAACATGGTTTAAAACTTATTGAAACCAGTAAGTTTTAATGTAGAATTCATTCACTGTGGAAAGACAGATAGGAAAAGAGATTTCAACAAATCCACAAGGGACAGAAGGCAGTTGCTGACTTTAGAGATTCCCCTAGCGCATGAATGAATTCGGGGGCATCACTGACATTTATCAAATGGCCAAATCTGGAACCAGAATGAGACATCTGAATGGCAAAAAAAAAATCAAAAAAGCAATTTAAAAAATGTCAGTAATTCTGAATTTTTAAGGTTATAGGATTCACATTTGTTTAATGATTACATATGATTTCATATTTTTTAAGTCAACTTCCGGGTGCAAAGAAGTGTTCTGGTTGGTTTAGAAACATGACTAATCACGCTAAAGTCTTTTCAGAGAAATACTCACTTTCATAACTATATTAATGAAAAAATTTAACGTGTGACATAAATATCCTGGAGTGTCTTGAAAGTAGTTTTTTACATTACATAGTAGAACACGACTCCTAAATGTTCAGAGATTGCGAAGGAAGGATGTGCTGATGCTGTCAGGAGATTCAGGTACTGCTAGGCTCACATTTTGCCTGGATTAGCCTTCAGAGTTATGCTGTCTATTTAAAGTATGCTACTGACAAATCATGATTTACTTCTCAAATGCAACTCTATCTTAGAGATCTGGGTCATTTTTCAAGATCTATATGGAAAAGTATGTTGATTGGGCATTGATGGTTTAACTTTGGACCAGGGTCAGAGGCTACAGCACCAGAAACACCATCAGACATTTGAGGACTCCAGGATCTCAATGGTCGCTTCAATTATAGTCTTCACAGGACACTGCCTCAGCCTGAGAGCCTGAGGGCTGGTGCCTGGACGCAGGACCGGCCAGCAGACCAGCTTTCCCAGACTCAGCAGAAAGCCCTTGTGCCAATGTTACTGACTCTCTTCTTCTTCCTCCTTCTTCTCCTTTTTCCTCATTATGTGTAGTTAGATGGCATTAAAATCATGCATTCCTTCCAGAAATGTCAAACTATCGAACTGTATCTAGTGAGCATCTGAGGAGAAGGAACCTCTAGTGAATAGTTCAGCCAAGCTGGCTAAAAAGGGAGAAAACCAAATGAATAGGATGGCATATGGAAGACTGGTGCGGCAGGGAGCCACACCTTTCAAAAAGACACTGATTTCTAATATTAGACTTTTGAAAACTGTTAAGCAATGTCCAGAATGTTTATCCTTGCCCATGTGAAAAGCAGTGATTTGTCCAGATATTCACATTATACTTTGTACTTCATTATTAATACTAAATGCTTTGTGTGCATGTTGCACTTCTGGGAACGGACATCACTGCTAGAACCAACCCGGCAACAAATAATTTACAAAGAATACGTTAGGGTTTCCTCTATTTGGGTTACGATTCTTGTGTGAAGCTCACTGACTGAAGCCTCACCCCAGCATAGCATCGTAGTCTACCATGAGACCCTCCCTTCCCCTTTGCTCCACCCTCCCAGTACTACATCAACTTCCGGACAGCCTCACGCCAAGCACAAATGACTTCTCAAACTCAAGGAGTGGAATGATTTGAAAATAATGTCCCTATACACTTTGGAACCTTGAGATTGACCCAAGTTTCGGAGTAAATCACAAAACCCTCTTAGGGATGTTTAATAAGTAGTTAACTGCCATTCAACTATCATTCAGCTCTCAGGAGCAATCTCACAGGGTCAACAGAAAAGAGACAAACCCCCAGAGTATTGATGACTTTGACGTAAGTACAAGATCAGATCTAGTCTTGTAGTTTTGGGATAACGTCTTCCCTAGTGAACAGATCAAAGGTCTAGCCAATTGACTAAGACTATTCCTCATCTTTGAAGAGAATGAAGTATCTGTTTGAAACAGAGAGCGAATCCCAAAATGATTATAACAGAAAGTATTTTTTCTTTTTTAAGAGAAATTGTGGGGCATAGTCTTTCATTGTGATATTACTTTAAAGAAAACACTTCTTCTATATTTTCAACGTGGTTAAAGTTAATTTTTCCTGATTTCTGACCTCTTTAAAATTTGCCCGAATCTCTTTCAGGGCATGCTGAATTGTATAGTTCAGGAAACAGGACTGGGGAGCTCTGAACTGGAAGCACTGTTTCTCATTTTTCCAGTTTCTCTCAGTGGCCTTTTGGCAAGTGACTGGCTTCAAGTTTGGTAGTCTATAAAATAGCCCTATGGCATTGAGAAGGCAATGAATATAAATTAAACAAGGCAGTGCTAAGTTCAAGATATTCCTTGTTAGTGCCTTGTGAAAAAAGTTTGCATTTAACATTCATTTGTCAAGGATTTATTATGGCGCTAGGGATAAGATAATCAATGAGAACCGATCTCTGCCCTCAAGGAGCTTATATATGGAAGCAGATAACAAAGTACAATTTTCAGTTGTTTCATTCTCACCATTTCTTTTTTTGTGTGTGTGAATGCACTGTTCTAAGTCACTGTAATTCTTTTTGATGCTGATTTTTGGAGAGGTTAAACCATGCTACACTATTAGAGACATCCATGGCTCAAAGAACACATATTAAAGAGAACAAATATGTGTTCTGTGTAACTGACACAAAGACTAATTAGTATATCAGCACCTGAAGTTTCTCCACTCTCAAACTTGGTAAGGAAAAAAAAAAGCTTGGTTATATGAAAACTAAATTACATGAAGAATTAGGCAGAGTTTCTGGAAACAGTAAGACCATCTTCTAATTTATTTTATGTACGTGACACAAGCACACAGGTATGAATGAAGACTTCTAGTAGAATTGTTGTTCTCATAATAACGAAAGAGCTTCTAAGAATTAACATAAGAACAGAGTGGTGGTATCTTTAATTCTCTAACAAATAGATACTTTTTTTATGAGGCAGGCCATCACATTTCCTTTATTAATTGTCATTCACATGTCTACGTTTTGCTGGCACACATCAGGAAAGGAACAAGGGGACCTGGAGACCAATGAGGGCCCCTCCTTGTGCAAACCTTTGCTTC